TTCATTAGACTGGGGCATCTTTGGAACTTACGTGCTGTGAAATATATATTTTTATACTGTGTTACTTAAATTGATTATCCCTTGTTTCCATGACAATTTCTCTACCAGATTGCTTTTGGTCCTCCTTTGATCTTCTCACTATTTAGGTGTTCCTGATTGCATAGCCTTTAGTCCTATTTCCACTCTTGAGTTTTGCAACTCTCATCCTTGTAGATCGGCAACCTAACCTTAGGGCCAAAGAAGACAAGGGTATTTGGGAAAGACTTTTAGTACCTCTCTATCAAGCTATAGGAGCATGACAGAAGGCAAGTGTCATTTTTTCCAAGACATGTAGCGATACAGGTTGGTAAGTATTAGAAATTTACATTGGAATGATTGATTTGCTTTCACTTGTCACACACTGTAGGAAGAAGATTTGTAATCTAGGGACCTGCTTCTAGTTTTAGCACTTGTATGTACTGCAGTGTAGTTTGGGTTAAGGTGTTTATTAGCTCTTTTATGGCCTCAAGGTTTTTTGGCAGTACTGGGATTTGAACTCAGGGCTCTGTGCTTGCTAAGCAGGTGCTGTACCACTTGAGCCACAACTTCTACCCTGTAAATTTGTAGGAGAGTTTTTAATCTTATTCTTTGGTGGTACTTTGTATTTAATCCAGGGTTTCATACATGCTAGGCAAGCACTGTACCACATGAGCCATGCCCCAAACCTCGTTTCTTAATCCGATAAAATAATTGAAAATGCTTTCTGAATAGTAGGATACCTCTTCCTGTAGGTTAAGTGCTTTGGCTCTAGAATGATATTTGTACCAAGAATATGGCATCAAATAGATCATAGAGAACCAACAGTATGCCACAGAGGCAGAGACAAAGGTGGAACTGGAAACAACATTTTAAGGTATATTTGGGTCCAAGGTATTGATCTTATAACAGATTGCTCTGAAAGACCGTGGGCACACAGTGCCCATGAAGAACGCAGGTCAGCCAATTATTAAATCAGTTGAACTGTTGCAGATGTTTAAGTGGTTTGTTACTCTTTCTCAGTCCTATAATCTCTGAGACCTTTATGAATTACATTCTCTTGAGACCATAGCAGGGGAGGGAAAATACTTAAGTTCCACCTTTGGCCAGCAGGTGGTGAGTTTTGAATTTAGACCCTGTAGACAGACAGATTTGGGCTAAATAAAGCTATGGAACAGAAACTGACAGGAAGCAGAGGAATAACATGTACCTTCTGATCAGCTATGTTTTTCAACCAAAGGTACAGGCTAGAAATAATGTAGAGTTGGGAGTTTGGACTTTATTATATCATCTTACTAAAGCCACACTGTCATCAACGCATACACAGTGTAAATGGGGCTGCAAGCAAGGGAAACCATGCCAAGGTAAGACAATCTGGGAAGGCCCTGGAGGTAGTATGAGAAGGGCCTTGAAGGTGGGAGACTACTGTAGGAGAAGTAGAGGAGAGCAGTTTGAAAAACACAGGGCATGTTTAGTCAGCATAAGGTTAGACTAGTAAGGGAGTACTAAAATTTGAAAAGGTCAGAAACCATGTTGTAAAGGACCTTCAGGTACCAGAAATGAACATTCTAAAGGTGTGGGGAATTTAGGCATGGAAGTGACATTGTCAGATTTCTTTGGTATTCACTTTTGGGCTGGGGATGTATGTCATAGATTGCCTACATAGCATATATAAGGCTCTGGGTTTGATCCCAGGTTGCAAGAGAAGACCAGTTCTCTTTTTTTGCCTTTTTTTCTTTTTTTTAGTGTGGCAAAAATTTCACCCAGTAAATTTCCAAGTGTCTAAAATATCAGTCTTGTGTACATTGTTGTGCCTAGTTCTCTTGGTGGTGGGGTTTGAGACAGGGTCTGGCCATGTAGTCCAGGCTAGTCTCAACCTATGATCCTTGGGCTTGGGGGGCCTGGCTCAAGTGGTAGAGTGCCTGCCTGGCAAGCATGTGAGGACCTGAGTTCAACCCTCCAGTAACACCAAAAAAACCCCAAAATAATCCTGTGATCCTCTTGCTTTAGCCTCTCCAGTGCTGGGATAATGGGTGTGTTCTACTGTGTAATAGCTTCATGATTCACCTTTTTTGGGGCTGTAATTGGGTTTGAATTCAGGGTTTTGTGCTTGCTGTGCAGGCACATTACCACTTGAGCCATGCTTCCAGTCTTTTTGCTCTGACTGTTTTGGAGATAGGGTCTTGCTTTTTGCCTAGGCCAACCTGGACCACCATTCTGTTTTATGCTTCCCACTGTGACTGGAATGACAGGCTTCCACCATCAGGCCCAATTTTTTTCTGTTCAGATAGAGGGGTCTTGTGAACTCCCTCCCTAGGCTGGCTTTGAACTGCATTTCCCAAGTAGCTAGGATTATAGGCGCGAGCCAGTGGTGCCTGGCTCACAGTTTACTTTTAAAATAATCTTTTATTTTCAGAGGCAGTAATGTGCACTATAGGTATTTAGAAAAATATAAGCAAGTTTAAAACTAACTTTTTTTTTTTTTGCAACAGCATCTTGCTGTGTAGCTCAGACTGGCCTCAAATTCACAGTCCTCTTGCCTCTACTCCCAAGTGCTGGTATTATAGGTGTATGCCACCATACCTGGCAAAAAATATTTCCAGTATCCAGAGATCACCATCATAAAAGTATATATTTTTCTGTTTTCTTTTTTCTATAAAAGTATATATTTTTCTGGATCTTACTATATATAAGTGTGTATACATGTGTTTTGTTTTTTCTTCATGTGTTAAGGAGTGAACCCAGGGCCTTGTGTGTGCTAAGTACCTGCTCGATTACTGAGCTATACTCCCAGTCCCACAAGTGGTATTTAAAAACCAAGTTGAGCCAGGTGCCAGTGGCTCACACCTGTAATTCTAACTAATTGGGAGGCTGAGATCCAGGAGTATTGTGGTTCGAGACCAGTGCACCAGTGCCACAGGTTTCATCCCAAGCTGTGCAGGAAGCTGAGATCAGAAGGATCATAGTTCCAGGCCAGCCTAGGCAAAAAGTTGGGTATGAGGGTGCAGTACACCTGTCTTTCCAGTGACAGTAGGGAGCTTAAAATAGGATTGTGGTCCAGGCCAGCCTAAGCCTTGGCAAAAAACAAGACCCTGTCTTCAAAATAATCAGACCAAAAAGGGTTGGAGGCGTGACTCAAGCAGTAGAGCACCTGTCTAATAAGGGCTGAGTCCCGAGTTCAAACTCCAATACAGCAAAAAGAAAAATTTAAATCAAGACTTTATAACTTTTTAGTTAGTAAACTCCACTTTTCCCTTTCTCTAAATTTTCTTGAGTTCAAGAACCAGTCATACCATTTCAGTTTCCCAGTGGCTCAAATTACTTCATTCACAACTATTTTGACCAAACCAGTATCCAATCTAGTACCACAAGTTGCATCTGTATGTTCCTTTCCTAAAAAAGTTTTTCAATGTTGGGGATCAAATTCAGGGCTTTGTGCATACTAGGAAAGTACTTTTATCACTGCACTATATCCCCAGGTCCCTTTGTTGTTTTGAGCAGGACCTTGCTGCAAAGCCCAGGTTGGTCTCAAATTACAGTCCTCCTGTCTTGGTCTCCCAAATGCTGGGACTATAGGTGTGTACCACCACTCTCAGCTATGACACTTATTTGTCGAGATTGAGTTGAACTCCAGAGAACGTAGCCATGTGGAATAGGAATAGGGTAATTTGGTGAGAAATGACTCAGAAAGTGATGGTAGAGATGGAGAGGTCAGGATGGAATTGAAAAACAATTGGATTAAATTGGAGAGGGGGATAAAGGAGAAGTTAGAGATGAAGTTAAGGTTACCTATACACTTTAAGACAGGAATAGTCTGGGCACCTATGGCTCATGCCTATAATTGTAGCTACTAAGGAGGTAGAGATCAGAAGGATCTTGGTTCAAAGTCAGCCCAGGCAAATAGTTTGTGAGACCATGTCTTGAAAAAAAACCCACCACAAAAGAAAGGGGCTGGTGGAGTGACTCAGGTGTAGGCCCTGAGTTCAAACCCAAGTGACTCAGGTGTAGGCCCTGAGTTCAAACCCAAGTAACCACAAAAAAGACCAGAATAGTAAGGTCTGGGAATATAGTTAAGTGCTTGCTTACTGCTCAAGGTACTGAGCTTGATCCCCAGCACTGTAAAGAAAAAAAAAAAAAAAAGAATGTATGTCCTGGTTTATCTGGGTGGTGGTCCAGTGTAATCATAAGCATCTTTAAAAGTGGAAGAGGGAGACAAGAATCCAGTGATGCAATTGTGAGAGGGGACTTGCCTTGTCTTTATTAGCTTTGACGGTGGAGGAAGGGGGTCAGTAGGCAAGGAATGTGGATAGCCTCTAAGGACTGGAAAAAGGGTGAATACTACTCTAAGCCTGCAAAAAGAAGTGTTCCTCTGTAACCCTTGATTTTAACCTTGTGAGACATGTCAGACTTCTGACAAATTTGTATTATTTTGTGGTAATAGCAGCTAAAAACTGATTCAGTATCCAACAGTGCAGTAGGAAGATGGGTAAAGGCTATGAATAAGCAATTATAGAAGAAATCCTGGCAGTTAACCATGTGAAAAGGCATTTGTTTTTGCAACCTTGGAATGGATGAAATGACCTGGGGAGAAAAGAGCAGAACTTGAGAAGAAATGGTCAGAAAGATAATGTGGATCAAGTGGATTAAGAAGGGGACTGTCTCCAGTACCAAGAACAGCTGTCTAGACCCAGACTAGTACTTGTGTGAATGGATGTGTTTTTCTGTTCACTTGGTATAAAGTCTACCTCTCAAGGGCAGGCATCATTAGAATGTGCTCCCCTGGCCCTACAGCCTCACCTTGAAGAGCAGGGATGTGTGGACTCCAGATGTAATAATCTAAAAGTCTGGAAAAGAGTTGATGCAGAATGCTGACCTCTCTACCTCTGGGACCTGGTCCTGAGAGCATATGGTCAGAGCAGAAGCTAATAAGGAATTGACATCCCAGTACCCTAGACTCCAAAGAAGACATGAGTGGGATTTGTCTAGTTCAGCTATTTTATTAGGATTTTTTTTTTTTCTCCTTGTTTCCTCTCCTCTACTTGGTTTGGCTCAGGTCATGGGGTACTAGTGCCAGTACTACCAACCTTTACTGACTGGTTTTGGTGGGCATGGGTCCATGGATACCCAGAAATTTGTCTAACACTCTTTGGAAACTCCTGGTACAGGTAACCTGGGGTGTAGAGGATGGGTGATGCTTCTCTATGTGAGTCCAAGGATTGTGCTTACAGAGGTGAGGGTTCTGGATATCATCACCTACCACCCCTATCCATTGCAGATCCTGGGAACCCACAGCACTGGGGAGAAACTGCTGAGGAATAGCAGTGTGGCAAGAAATCTGACTCTTGTGCTGAGACTTTTGGGAAAATCTGTTTACAGGGGTCACTGCTGGCCTCCAGGCAGGGTGGCTCTTCTCAGTGACTATGAATGAACCCAATCTTGAATCCCTTCCTCCACATTTTCCTGCTTTGGGTTTTCTTGGATTCACTCTTTTGGGCTGAAGATAGGGCTGAAGCCTTGTCCTGTCTTTTGCCTGAGGCCATAACCCCTGTGTTCGAGGGGTCTTCTAGGCCTGGACAGTTCTTATCAGCCTCCACGTAAACACAAGGCCCCTTGAATGGGGCTTGGGCCACCATTTTCCCTTTCATTCTCTCCTTTTTCTGAGACTCTTGTTTTACCCTGCCGGAAGCTCGTAGCTGAGATTGGAAAAAGGAGTGTGAGTGATGACAATGAGGGGCCTGGACAGGCTGAGGTACTGTGCTCTGGATTTTGGGGGGATGACAGCTTGAAGAGTGGGGGTGCAGATAGAGAGGATGAGTCTGCTGTTGGGGACAAGATGAGAGTTCTGAAGAGTCTGGAGTTATGGAGTTCAGGGCAGGGGAGCTGCAAAATGGTCGAATTGGGCCATGGGATCTGAAAGGGCTCTGCTGCAATTTCTTTAGCCTGAGTTCCAATTCTCTACTCCATTGCCAGGTGTGGATCCCAGGGTGGGTGAGCGCCTCTGGGATGACCTTACCCTGGGAGAATATGGCCTCTGCTTTAGCTTCTGAGAATCTCTCTCCCTTCTGTAGGCCAGGCTGGGTAGGCTCAATCTTCAGGTCTTTAGTTAGGGTAGGGGATGAGGATACTGGATGCAAGTTATTCACCACTAGAGAGGTGTGACCCTGGGGGAGCTCGCTCTCTTGTACATTTCTACACACAAACTCAAGGTGTTCAGTGTGTGACTCTAGTGGAGGAGCAGAGGAGGAGCTGGGGGCAGGTTGTTCAGTGGCCCAACAATTCTTTCTCTGCTCCACTGCTTCTCCCACTAGCTTACAGTTGCACTGGTCTCCAAAAGGCTCACTTATATGAGACTTTGAAACAGAGTTTGGGGGTGGACTGGGGCCCCAAACTGGGGACACAGGAACACAACAGTTTTCTTTCTCTTCCATGTTCCCACCAATATGCTCAGAGTCAGACAGGGAGGTATCTCCAAGAAGTAAGCTGCAAGCTGGAAGCTCAGAGGCCCAGGAGTTCTTTCTTCTTTGCATGTCCCCACACCTAGCTTTAGAATCAAACAGGACAGCCATGGGGCTAACTCTGAGGGGTTCTAGTATAAGAGCTGTGGATGGGCTAAAAGCCAGAGATGAGGGCTCAGAAGCCCAGAAATTCCTGGAATGCTCAGTATCCTTTAGTTTTGCTTCTGATCTAGGAAAGCCATCCATAGTATTGATTCCTTGTGGTTCTGTAAAGGGGGCTAAAGGTGTTCTATGGGCAGAGTCTGTGGATTCAGATACCCAGAGGTTCTCTCTCTGCCCCTTGGTCTCCCACAAAGCTTTGGATTCTGACAGGATTTCCTGGGGGCCCATTACAAGAGGCTCCAGCAGAGGTGCCGAGGGAAGGATGGAAGATGAAACTGGGTCTACAGAGACCAAAAGATTTTCTCTACTCTGTGTGACCTTCCATGGCGTTTCAGATCCTGTTGGGACACATGCAGGGCTGGTTTCATAGAGCCCTGTGTTGAGGTCCAAGGCTTGGGGTTCAAAGGCCTGGTGATTTCCTGAGTTTTCTCTGCATTCCCACTGAGGCTCATATCCATATGGATCTTCTAGGGGATTCTTTTCCTGGAGTTCTGGCTGGGAGTCTAGTGTAAGACAGAGGGCTGACATGGGAGACTTAGCTTTCTGTGGGTTCTCTCTGTAAATCATGGCTCCCCAGAAGTCTTTGGGTGCAGAAAGTCTTCCTCTAGGGCTAACTTCTTGGGTTTCTGACAGAGAAACTGGGGGTTGGCAGGAGGCTGTTTTTAGGGGCCCAGAAGCTTGGAGGCTCTTGTTATATCCTATGGTTCCCCACTGAACTTCATATCTAGGTGGAACTCCTGGAGAGTTAGTTCCTTGAGGTTCTATCATGGCTACTGTGGGTTGGCAAGGGGCCAGAATTAGAGGCTCAGAGATCTGAGGGTTCTCTTTTAGCTCTCTGGTTTCCTGGATGGCCTTAGATCCAGACATACCTCCTATAGGGTTGACTCTCTGGAGTTCTGGCAGGGGGCCTAAGGTTGAGTTAGGAACTAGCATTGCTGCCTCAGAAGCTTTCAGGTGCTCATTTTGTCCTATGGTCCTCTGTGGGGCTTCACACCTAACTAGGACCCCCAAAGGAGTAGAGGGATACTGCAGAGAGGCAGAAGGTGACTCTAGATTGTGTTTATGGAGGCTGGGGTCCCCTGGAATTTCCCACCAGGCTTCAGACAAGGATAAAAGCTTGGAGGGTCTTATTCTTTGGAGTTCAGGCTGTGAATGCAGGGCTTGATCCTTGCAGACCCAACGACCCTCTGTCTGATTTGTAAGCCACTGTGCACATGCTTTAGCATCAGATAGGACTCTCCCATGGTGCACAAGCAAGGGCTTAAGATGGAAAGATAGTGATGAGATAGAAGGGGAAGATGGAGATGGAACTAGCTGAGGACTGGGAGCCATTTCTTCCAGATCTTCGATGGTATGGGCTTCATGGGTAGGAAACCGGCTTGGGGAACGATAATGGGGAAGCGGCAGGTTGTACTTAGGGAGGAAGGCACACTTATTGAATAAGACAGAAGGGTAAACAGACAACTTCAGAGGAGAGGAGCCATCTGAACTCAGGAAGATAGTCTCCAAGGACTCACTGTGCAGAAAGGGGAGACCCCAGAAGAGCTGGCTTTTTTTTTGCTGCAGGTGGCTGCTTGATGTTATTTTGTTCCTCACAGGTAGATTAGTCAGGATCTGGAAGGTAGGGAAGGATCTAAAAGAGCTTGAGGACTGTGTGAGTATTTCTATGGCCTTGGAGAGGCCCTCAGAACCACAAGATGGCTGGGGTGGGGCTTTGGTGCCTTGCTCTCCAACGGAAGCTTCTTTAATAGGAGAACTTGATTTCAGTGGGTCCAGAGATGACAACTCTTCTTCCCCCTCTTCTTTTTCTTCTTCCTCCTCCTCCTCTTCCTCTTCCTCTACCTCTAATTTCTGTTTCCACAAGCAATCAAGGAAGGCCAAATGATACAGAAGTGGCAGACCCTGAGAAGGAGAATGATAGTATTAGGTATGATGACTTTTCAGAGACATAAGGCATGTCATGAATTCCCTAGACTGTACTCTTCATCCAGAGTGAACAGTTAATTCATTTGGCTTCACAGCTGTGGTTAGCAATCACTTACCGAGACCTTCATCAAATACTAATGTTCATAACCCAGTCCTCATTTGGAGATTGGATTTCCTCACATAACCCTTCATCTAGGGCCAGTGATCACTCATCTGACTTCAAATTTCTTGTCAGTGGACACTCACTGAGCCTCAAATCTAGGGCTTGTAGTCACCCATTTGGGGCTACATCCATACTATTGATTCCTCACCTAACTTCACATGTAGTGTCAACAGTCTTCAGCTACACATCCATGGTCAGAGATCACCACCTTGCCTTGAATCATATCTCCAGAGCACCAAGGCTGAAGTTGTTGCCACCATCTTCGGATCTGCCAAACCATGAACAAAAATAGTATCACCAGATTCCCTGGACTCTGGAGACAGGTGCTGCTTCCACAGTGTCTGCAAGCCAGAGCATAGGTCAGCTGGCCCCAGAGAAACCCTATATCTCCCTCAACCCCAAGTAGGTCCTCCAGCAGCCATTCCATTTTCCTCAACCTAGTGGCAGTTTACACTGAGGTCATCACTGCATCATAGAAAAAGAACTCCCATCCCCCACATGGGCCCAAGCCTAACAGTCTACTCTCTGAATTGAGGGGCAAAAAGTTGCCTTTATGAGACAACTTGTATTTCATATAGTGAAATCCTGGTGATCCTTTTTGTCTGAATTGCTAAGGTCAGACCTATGCTTCAGGCATTATGATTTAAGGGCATGGATTCTACCTTATTCAAACCTTATTTCTGCCACTTCCTAACTATGAAACTTAAGTCAAACAACTTAATCTTTCAGTGCCTCAATTGAGTACCTCTCATCTATAAAATGGGGATGATATTATTAACAGCCGGTTGTGGTGGTTCATGCCAGCTACTTGGGAGGTGGAGGCAGAAGAATCTTAAATTCAGTCTAGCCTGGCCAAAAGTAGGTAAGTCCTGTCTCAAAAACAAAAACAAAAGGACTAGGGACATAGCTCAAGTGGTAAAGTACTTTCCTAGTAAGCAGGAGGCCCTGGGTTCAATCTCTAGTACTAAAATATATATATATACATATATATATATATATATATATATATATATATTTTATTAAAAATATAGTTTTTTGATGGGACTGGTGTTTGAACTCAAGTTTTCATGTTTGCAAAACAGGTGCTCTACCTCCTGACCCATGCTTCCAGTTACCCCCAAAATATTAGTAACCACAGACTGTTTTGAAGATTAAATGAATAAATATATGTGCTTAGAATAATACCTGATACATAGTGTATGCTGTGTCAAAGTCATATTTCTTTTATAAAAATTTATATTTTATTTTTGAATTAGCATACACTGATAATATGGGATTTTATTGTGATAATTCCATACATGTGTAGAGTGTACTTTGAATAAATTCACTCCCTCCATTATATTCTCATTTCCCTTCCCTCCTCCTCCTCTGTAAAACAGTGTTTGGTGGGTTTTATTATGCTGTGTTTGATCCTCTGTACCCCTCAGTATCCTTTCCTTCTCCCCCCTCCCATTCTTACTCCTTCCTAGACAGTCCTCTTTTAGCATTCATGTCCCAGTATCATCATCGTCGTCGTCATCATCATCATCATTTTAAGTCTAGTTTCCAAAAATGAACAAGAATATTTGACTTTCTGAGCTTGGCTTATCTCAACCTGACCAGTTTCATCTGTTTTTCTACAAATGACATAATTTCATTTTTCATTATGGCTGAGTAATATTCCATGGCATGTGTGTATACCCTACTTTCTTTACCCATTCATCCATTGTTGGGCATGGTTGATTCCACAGTTTGGCTATTGTGAACAGAATTGCAATAAACATGGGTATGCAGGTATCTCCCTTGTATACTGATTTACACTCCTTTGGATATAGCACAAGAGTGCTATGGTGGGGTCATAATGTAAGTATTTTTAGTTTTTTGAAGAACCTCCATACTGATTTCCATAATGGTTGTACTAGTTTACATTCCTACCAACAGTAGATGAGGGTTCCTTCCCCACCCCACCCTCACCAGCATTTGTTGTAGTTTGTTTCTTGATGATTGCCAGTTTGACTGAGGTGATATGGAATCTTAGTGTAGTTTTGATTTGCATTTCCTTTATGGCTAAGGATATTGAATAATTCTTCATGTATTTATTAGCCATGTGTATTTCTTCTGAGAACTCTGTTCAAATTGTTTGCCCATTTATTAATTATTAATTGGATTATTTTGTTTAATTTTTGAGCTCTTACATATTAATTCTTTATCCTTTGAATAGCTGGTAAAGACATTCTCCCACTCTGTGGGTTGTCTCGATTCTGATATGCAGTCCCATGTATCCATTCTTGCTCTTATTTCCTGGGCAATTGGAGTTCCTCTATTTAGAAAGTAATTACTTATGCCCATATTTTCCAGTAGTAGTTTCACATAGATCTTGATATGTAGCCCAGGGTGGCTTTGAGCTTTTTTTTTTTTTTTTGTAGTACTGAGGTTTGAACTCAGATCCACTAGTCCCAACCCTGGACTTGAACTTTTGATCCTCTGTCTCAGCTCCTGAATGTTGGGAAAATTTTTACTTTTGGTTCCTGATTACGAGCTTCATTTCATCTTTTTTTATGCTGTGCCAGCCATAGTGTCTTATTTGACTTTAGTTTGCCTGAGATATTTTTGAGAAGAATTCATCTTAAAGGTAACAAACCAAATGTGCTTGACCATTCCCCTTCATTTTCTCCTCTTTCCCCTAAAACTACCACTCTGTTCTATGTCAACCCTTCCTTTCAGGGCCAAACTTCAATTTCTGTTTTCCCAATACAATTCAATGCCTCCCAACAGAAGCCAGTTTATTTTGAGAGTACCAAGCTGAAAGGAAGAGACTTGAGTTCTCTAGCTCTGTTATCGATTGGTTACATGATCTTGAGAAATGAGAAGTTTCTATTTGGTACCATGAGTTGGACTAGATTCATTTATTCATTCATTCAACATATATTTATTGAGTACCTATTATGGATCATATATTGTGCTTAATCTTAAGATGATAGAAGAGTCTCTTCACTAAAGTAGGTCCCATGTCAGTTGCAATGGTGGAAGGGAGGATGGGGAAGAAATAAGTAATAGATAATGAAAATAAAGATATGTATGTACAGGATAGTATTGGGGCAACAAAAGATATCTGCCAGTCTAGGGAAGGGGTTTGTTTTTGAGGTTGTTTCCCAGAAGGAATGAGCAATGCTTGGGTGGCGGAACCAAGAAAATGCAGATGTAGAATAAGAGAATGAGAGAAGGGCAATCCACAAAGTAGGAACAGCCTGTGTAAAAGTGCTAGAACAGAGAAAATATATCTCATTATAAAAAATTAAAGGCATTTCTATATTATTGGACGGGGTTGGAGAAATGATAGATATATCTGGAAAGACAGGATCACAAAGAATACCAGGTTAGGAAATTGGAAATTTATCCAAAAGTCATGGGAAACCATTGAAAAGTTTTAAATAGAGAAGTAACAAGATCAAGTTTGTATCTTGAAAACAACACTTTAGGTGTAGTGAGAGCAAAGAGACTGAAAGTAAGAGATTAGTTAGGGAACTCTTGCTTTAGTTGAAGCAAAAAATGAGACCTGAACCAACTAGTGATGGTTGGAATTGAGACTAATGGATTTGGGTGGTATTAGAGTGATATAACTGCTTACACTTGGTTACCAAGGAGATAGGTTGGAGGAAAGAAGAAGTTAGAATGACTCCAGAGTTTTTGTTTGTTTGTTTGGCAGTTCTGGGGTTTGTACTTAGGACCTTGCATTTGCTAGTCAGGCATTCTACCACTTGAGCTCCCAGCCTGACTCCAGGTTTTTGACTTGGGAAACTGGTGCACTTCATTGAGATAGGGTACACAGTCTTGCAAACTAATTTAGGGTGCTCATAGGGTGACAGGATTCATTCTGTACATCTTTTTTGTGGTACTGGGGTTTGAACTCAAGGCCTTGTACTTGCTAGGTAAGTACTCTACCACTTGAGCCACACCCCGCCCAATTTGATACACATGTATTTGAGGTTCCTATGATATTTCAAGTGAGGCAGGCAACAAATACATAGATCTGAAACTTGAGAGAGCGGTCAGTTGGGAAGGTGAAAATTTGACAGCTAACAGCATATATGTAGCAGCTGAGATCACAGAAAGATGTAAAGGTGACCTACTGATATGTAACATTTGGCCAGACAATGTAACTAGTACTCTTATTTTTAAAAACTCAAAGGAGTCCTGGCTTAATGGTACACTTCTATAATCTCATCACTGGGGTGGCTGAGGCAGGAGGATCATGAGTTTGAAACCAGCTGGGGGAGACCCTCTTGTCAGAAACAAAACAAAGGCTGTAGGCATGGCTCACGTGGTAGAGTGCCTGCTAGCAAGCAGAAGCCCTGAGTTTAAGCACCAGTACCACCAACAAAACAAAACACCAACTTGAACAAATAGCTAGCATTGTAAACCAATAGAGTATACATAATAATATTTCTAATTTAAAATCTGGCAACATTGGATTTGCATTCGCATAAGATACATTTGGAGCTAAATAGCATTTACTTCTTTTGGAATTGACCCATATTCTCCAGTTCACTGCAGTTCTCACCATCTTCTTAAAGTTAATGCCAAGACTAAGAGCTAGTTGCTGTTTATTCTTGTGCCTGTGATTTTATTTTCTTACATTTATCCATGTTTACTCATTTGTATTAACTGCCCGTTATTTGAGCCTCTATATCAAGAAGGTAAATTGGTTAAATCTTGTATATAGGAAGGAAAGAAGGAAAGGAAGAGGAGAAGGGGGAAAAGAAAGGAAGGATAGCAGTGGGTCCAGAGATTTCAGAAGAAATGAGACAATGGGTCCTGTGAGTAGCAAGGACTGTATAGAAAGTACTCTGTGAGGCAGCAAGACTTCTGATGGGAGAGCTGATTTAAAGGCTGGGGGACTAAACATCTAGCATGAAGTCTTGGGAACTGCAGCAAAAGATGCTAATGTGCATACTTGGCAGAGATGCTTGTAGAATCACCTGCCTTTGAATGGACTGTATATACAGGTCACTGTATACAGGTTTATACAATGGGCACCCTAGGGGCAACCATGACAGACCAGAGGAGCTTTCCTATTTTGTTTTTGATTCTTTGTCTGTTGTTTTTTTTAGTTTGTTTTGTTTGGGGCAGTACTGGAGTTTGAACTAGCTAGGCAGGCACTCTACCACTTGAGCAACTCCATCAGCCCAGTTTTTTCTTGGGTTTTTTGAGATAGGGTCTTGCAAAGTATTTGTCAGAGCTGGCTTCAAATAGCAATCCTCCTGATCTCTGCCTCCCAAGTAGCTAGGATTTCAGGTGTGAGCCCCTGGCGCCTGACTTGTTTTTGTTTTTTTAAGAAAGTCTTACTGTGTCACTCAGGCTGGCCTTGAATTTGCTATGATGTAGCACAGACTGACCTTGAACTCATGATCTTCCTGCCTCAGCCTCCTCAGTGCTGTGATTACAGCTACGCACTACCACACATGGCTTGCTTGCTTCCTTCCTTCCCTTCCTTTT